CTCGACGGATCCCCCTTGTGGGTGCAAGTCTTGTACCCACAATTCCGCGGTTGTTAGCTGCGCAGAAGTGGAGCCGCGGCGATGGACGGGCTCTCGGAACCGCCGCGCCCTCGGGGTCGGATCGAGAAATTTACCGACCAGGCCTCGGTAACCTCAACAATTCTGCGGCTGTTGGTAGCTGCGCTGTAGCTGGACCTCGATCGGATCACCCCCTCGGGAGCGATACCCCCAGTGTTGCGGCGGACACTCGCAGAGGCGGAGACGGAGCCAGCGACCCTGCATCCCCCAGGGCAGCGGTGCTCGATCGGGCTGAGTCTGGGAAGGAAGAGGACACTCAACATGCCCCCACCGGAGACTTGCTGGACGTTCCTCTCACGCCAGACGCCACGACGTCCTTCCGAGTCCCCCCCGCGCAGACGGATCGGCACGCCTCGCTGGCAGCGAGACAGGAGGCGGGTGGAACGGACGGCCTCCCCCTCAGGGGGCCGGGGAGCCTCCATCGCGAGACCGATCGATCAGGCACGAATGCTAACACATTTCCGCGGCTGTTAGCTGCATACCTACCGGGCCCCGATCGGACCTCCCTCCATGAGGAGCGCCCCCCAGCAGCGCGGAACCGAGCGCCTCGCCAGCGGCGGGGCCAGAGGTGGCTGAGCTCGGTGCCTCCCCATCAGACAGGCATGTGGACCCCGATCGCGGGACCGATCGATCAGGCAGGACTACTCCACCCCATCCGATCACCCTCCAGAAGCCCCTTCCGGCGGCTCACCGGCCCGCCGCCTGGCTGGAGACGAGGTGGGCGGGGCAACCCCGCCGCCGCCAGAGGCTGCGGGTCGCTGCGAAGCGGCGGGTGCCCCCCCCAGGGCTCCACGTGGCCTCAGGTGGACCCCCGCCAGAGCTCAGCTCCCCCCCGCGGGCCCAGCGGAGCCTCCAGAGCCCCCCCCGAACAGGCCACATACCTACGCTAGCGACGGAGACGGACAATGCCCGCGCGGATCAGTCCGATCGATCAGACACGAGCTTTTCGCACATTTCCGCAGCTGTTAGCTGCCTACCTACCAGGCCGCGATCGGATCTCCCCCCCTGGAGGCGCTCCTCCCAGCAGTGAGGAACAGAGCGCCTCACCAGCAGCGAGGCAAGGGGTGGCGGGGCTCGGTCTCCCCGCCAAGGGGGCGCGCGGGCTCCGATCGCGACGTCGATCGATCGGGCAGGTCTCTTCCACACCATTCTGCGGCTGTTAGCTGCGTCCTAGCTGAGCCTTGATCTGATCACCCCCCTGGGACACGCATCTCTGGGCTACTCGCCGGCCGGTCGCCTGACCACTGGCGACGTGAGCGGGGTAAGTCCCCCGCCACAAGAGGAGGCGGGTCAGTTCGGAACGGTGGGTGCCCCCCCGGGCCTCCGCGCAGCCTCGGGTGGGCCCCCTCCCAGGACTCAGCTCCCCCCCACTGGCGCAGCGAAGCCTCCAGAGCCCTCCCTCAGCAGGCCTCAGACCCAGCCTGGCGGCAGAGAGGGCCAGCGCTCAGGCGGAACAGGATAGCGGAGACCCGACCAGAGACCCTCAAGGAAAGAGGCTCGCCGCACCAGGCACGGACATTGGAGCGAGGACAAGGTGCGTCCGGGACGCCGAGGGCAGACCCTCGCCCCGCCGCCCCCCTGGAGGGCGACCAGCTGTCCCTGGCATCGGCGCCCACGCGCCGGAAGGGACTGCCGCCCCCCCCCCAGCGCGAGCGAAGGCGACATCTCCCCCGCGGTGCCTCTATTTCAGTTGGGCCAGGAGAGGCAACGACGCGGCCCCTCCCGCGGAAGGGGGCAATGCAAGCGGCCCCGGACGCGCAAGATCCCGAAGCGTGGCCGCCGAGCGACGGAGGGGGCCCCTCCCGTGCCGCGACTCGCCCGCCCAACCCAGCCCCCTCGGCATTCAGACGAGGGCTGGGTGCTAGAGGGCCACATCGCCTGCACCCCCTCTCCCCAAGAGAGGGAAGGAGAGCGCAGCCCTCCGAGTGGATCTCCCCGTGCCAGGACGAGTCCCCTGACAGACAGTGCAGACGGACCTTTGGAGCCGGGCCCCCTGCGGACACGTGCTCGAATCAGCGGATCCCCCCCGGGCTCATTGCAGCGATGGGGGTGCCTCCTCCCCTTGGTCCGGTGGGCGACGTCCCCAGACCGGTTGCGGAAGTCGGCCCGAGCCCCCCTGGGGGCGAGGGCCCCTCGCCGGGGCCGATCGACTCGCGAGCGGGCGCCTCTCTCCTTCGCCCCCCCCCCCGCCCCCTTCCCCTACCCCCTCCGTCGCGGCTCAAACCCTAACCGCGTCCCAGAGGAAGTTTCGCCAAATCAGCGGCCGCCTAGCCCCGCGAGGGCCACGCCGCATGAGCAAGACGAAAGGAAAAGTCCCCCCCCCCCCCGCGGGGGCGACGGCGCGCCCGCCGGGCCGAGAGCTGACGCCAGACCCCCGCCGGGCGCTGGAGCGCACCAGCACGGGGGGGATGGCCACGCGCCAGACAGACAGGGCACGCACACGGAGGGACCAAACCCTCCTCCACGATCTGCCAGGGAGCTCCCTGTGGCCCTCGAGCTCTGGACCTCCGCCGCACAGGCCAGGGGGGCCCCCTGGGTGTACTTTTCGAGACAGCAGAGCGAGCAGGCGGCCCGTGGTTGGACGATTGGTGGGCCCGTTCACGCACTCCGGTACAGCAGCGCAACCTCGAAACCCTCCTCCACAATGCCTGGGCGGGACATCGCCCCCTCCACGATTACGGGGGCCCGGGTGGCCCCTTGGAGGATTACGGACAAGATTTCGAACTGAACGACGACCCACGCGCTCAACGCGTAGCCAGTGCCCTCTGCTACCTCGACATCACAGGCCTTGCCTGGTCTGCCAACGGGTGCGACTATGAAGCAAGGATGGGGGGCGTCAAGCTTCACCACGCACAGCAGCTCGCGTTCAGACTCCTGGCGATCCTTTCTTTACCCTGTCCTCCATGACTCGGAGGAGATCGACCTCTCGCCTTCCGACCTGTACGACGAAGCCTCCGCTGCCGAGATAGAAGCTGCATCGGCGGATTGCGCTTTATGGTATATGCCGCTGTCTACTGCGGCTTCCTTCCCTCGGATCAGCAGATAGAGGAGCGAGCCCCCCTGCCTGCCCTCCCACTCGTAGAGGTCATGCCAGCGCCCGAGGCCCGCTTTCAGCACCCTGACCCCTGGGACCCGTACACCGTCGCACGGGCGACTAAGATCCTCATTAACGAGCACAGGAGCGGGCAGCATGCACCTCCCAGGCCACGAGCATTTAGCACGGTGGGCCCGCCTCCACGGCGCGGAGCCACGTGCTGGACACGACGTCCACTCGCTCCCACAGTCAGGGGACGGACCCTTATCGTGGGCCACCCCAGCGGTCATCCCACCTCGCCCTCCCCTCGGCAACGGCTCATCTCCCACGCGCCCTGGACTCCGCCCCCCAACGACCGAGGGCACTCCCAGCGCCCGCTGGCCTTGGGACCGCACGGCCAGACGACTCCAGATTGACTCCTTCTTCAGCCCTGGCCCTCAGTGCTGGTGGTGTGGCACGTGGGCGCTACGGGAACCCACGCCGGGGCTGCGCCCCGCTTGCCACCGTTTGGGGCACCCGTGGAGGACCCTAGAGGACCCCCGACCGAGTGGCGCCAGGCCTGCTCCGCTTCTCCCACTGGACGGCCTTAGTCCCCTTCTCGCCATGCAGCTGGACAGGGCTGCTGACAGATACGCCCCCCTACACTACAATGTGCACGGGGAAGAGGACGGGATTGTCGACTACACAGCGACCTGGCTCATTACTGAGCTTCTCGGAGGATGGAGACACATGGTGGAGAACAGCGACAACATCAGCCTCGACCTCGACGTCACCCATCCCGCCTCCCCCACCAGGAAAGCGGACGTGCGCGCGGCCGCTAGCGCCTTATCCAGGCTCTGCGCCGCTCCTTTCGACTGGGCAGCAACGGCATGCTCGGACATGCGATGCGCGCACGGCGCAAAGCTGCGAGCTTCGAACCCCGCACGCTAACTCGGGGAATCGCGCAGCGGGCGCGCACCTGCACGCGCCTTCACTTCAACATTTGATGTCCTTGACATGTACGCAAGAGGTTGCGAAGGCCTTACGGCCGGTGCCGCCGACCCTGAAGGCGGGACCTTCCCCGGGCCCCCCCCCCCCTTGCGACCACCCCAGGGACCCGCCGGGACCACGGGGGTGGCGGTATTCTGACCCGGTGTCCCACCCCCCCCTCCTCGCTGTTAACCCCTCCCCCCGGTAGGGAAGGGATAGAGGGAAGGGGCTTCTTAACTGCGACGTTATTTCTTCTTGCTCCTGAATTTCCTTGGAATTGACGAATGCGACGACACGACGACGACGACGACGTCGACGACGACGACGACGAAAACGACGACAGCGTCTTCCACACGCCGAGGGGTCGGCGGATTTGTAAGCCTGTTGCAAGCAAGCCGCTTGAAGCCTGGCCAGTCTGTTACGGCTTGCTCTGGGGAGCCACATCGACTCCAGATTGTACAGACGCTTCGGATGTGCATCTGCATGTCCTTACGACCGCAGCGGGGTGAGGGGGGCAGCGTATGGGAGCCTGAGCCGTCTGCTGGCTCGACTCCTGAGGATCCTGCACGGACAATTGCCACAATGGACGTGATCGCCTCCTCCTTATCATGTTTCGCATCCTGTTCATCCTCCTCCACATGCTCCTTATCCTCTTCATTCGCCTCATGCTCCCCATCCCCTTAATCCCAATTCTGCTGACGCTGTCGCTGAAGGCGGGTCTGTCAACAGGCGACTGGTGGCATCTGTAGCCCTTGCCGGCAGCCTGCGCCGAGTGAGAGGGAGAAACGTATACCTTTCGTGTTAAACGTGAAGTCAGAGTCCCTCCTCCTCCTCCTCCTCCTCCTCCTCCTCCTCCATCTCCTCCTCCTCCTCCTCCTCCTCCTCATTCTCATTCGATTCGCCTCCTCCCTGTGAACAGGGCCGCTGGCAGAGCTGGAGCCGCCGGCCAGACTGCTCGAGGCTCCCTGAGGCCGCGGCGCTGCGCGGGGAGGGCAGCCTCGCCTCCTTGGAGGACGAAGGCAAGGAAGAGAGAGAGGGCAGGGAGAGGGGCAAGGAACCGTAGGCGCTACTCGCCTGGACCAACAAGGAAGCGGAGGTTATCACGTAGCTGGGGGTGGGGTACCAAGCTAACGCCAGGCTTTGCAGTAGTCTACTTACCGCCTGGCGGGCGCATAGTCTTAGCCCCTGAGGGCCCTCTTCTTTTCTGCTCTTTTGGCTCTTCCTAGCCTGCTTCGCCCGCCAGGTTGTTTCGCTCCGCCAAGGCGGCGTCTTTTCTATTTCGCCCAGTAACGATCCAGGCTGCCGCCCTACGTACGTTTGCGCAACATCATAAAGGAGGGCAAGGAGGAGGAGGAGGAGGAGGAGGAGGAGGAGGAGGAGGGGGAGGGGGAGGGGGAGGAGGAGTGGGACGGGAGGCTCCGTCCTCGCCGGCTGCACGGATGCGCGTCGAGGTCTTCCAGCGGCATCGGGCCTTGCGTGGTTCTCTGCGGGCGGGTGAGGCTGTCTCTGGGGCATGCCCTTTCCAGGCCGCCCCCCTGGCCGTGCTAGGTCCTCCAGACGCGCGCGCGTCCTCCCCAGCTGGGGCCCTAGTCGTGATTGCGGTTGGGGTCTGCACCCGACTCCAAGGTCTGGCGGCGTGTGCCCTTGGAGGTTCCGCTGTAAGGAGCGCGTCCACACTGACACTCTCTTTCCACTGGGAGGAGGCAGGGCGGGAGGTTGCAAGGGCCCCATGGGGTGTTCCAATATTCCATGGGATCTTGCCGCGGTTCGGCATTTTTGGTTGCGTCGCATTCGGTTGCAATCGGTCGGTTTGGTTCGGTCGGTTGTTGCGTCGTTGCGTCATTCCTAGCTGCTTCGGGTGCAGATGGTTTGCGCTGTCGCCGTGGACGGCCTTGGAGGAATGAGCGAGGGAAGGGGCTGTAGGAGGAGGGGCAGCAGGAGGAGGGCTGAGGAAGATGAGGGGGGAGGAAGGGGGGCTGGAGGGGGAGGAGGGGTTCGACGATGACTCCCATCGTCCTCTTCCTCCTCCGCGCTCGCCTTTCGTCTTCCCATCTCAACGTCATCCTCTTCCTCCTCCTCCCTTCGCCCTCTTCCTTCCCTAGCTCCTCGCCTCTCTTTCCCCTGTCCCCATCATCCTCCCCCTCCTCATCCTCCCTCCTCCCCTCCCTCTTCCCCGCCTCCACCTGCTTCCCCCTCTCCCCCTCCTCCCCTCCCCTTCCTCGCCATTCCTCCGCCCTCTTTTCCGACGACGACGGCGACAGTACAGGGCAACGCCCACGGCAGCAACGACTACGGCAGCGACGGCAGCGACCGCGGCGGCCACGACGGCTGCTGCCGCACAACACCGACGTCTCGCGCGCAGGCCCGGCTACCAGAGGACGTGCGGCTGACGGAGGCGCCCGCGGCCCGGGCACGGCCGTTCTCACCTCCCGACGGCGCGCAGGAGTGGCACATCGCCAGGGCGGCTTTGGTGCCATGCAGTCACGGGGGATCGTTTGGGGCCCCCTCCTTCTTCCTTGCTCCTCCCCGATCCCTCCTCCTCCTCCTCCTTCTCCCTGTTTCCCTCCTCCTCCTCCTCCTCCTCCTCCTCCTCCTCCCACCCATCCTCCTCTTCTGCTGGGGGGTTGCAGGCCGTCTGACTGTATTGGACTTTGGTGCGGGCGCATTGGGGTCCCCCGATCGCTGAACGCTTTGCGGGTTTGGCCCCCCAAGGCCGCGCACCGGAGCACTCATGCGTGCAGCTGGCTCCTCCAGGGGTCGTCGTTCTCCCAGCGGCGCGCCACAGCGGATTTGGGACATTAGGGAGGGCTTGTTGTGGCCTTTGGCAGTTTTTGGGGTCGCCTTGTTTGCTTCGCTGGTCAGGGCACTTCTGTGCCGTCTGCGAGCTGTCGTGAGGCCATCTTCGGTCAATACAGGGGCTCTCTTGGGCCATCATGGCCCTTCCAGACCCTCGTGGGCCGTCTTCGGGCTGTCCTTGGACCGACTTGGGGTGGTCTCAGGGCCTCCCTGGATCATCTCGGGTCCTCCCTGGTGCCCTCCTGAAGTAATCTCGGGCCGAAAAGCCTGGAGTGTCAGAAACGTTCAAAGACCTTCGGCCGTTCAGGGCCTCTGGCGTCCAATCGCTGTAGTCTTGGGCCGCCCTGGGCCAGCTGTGGCATACCCAGGGCGGCCCCTCGTGGCCCTCATGCAATCACGCTGGGCCTCTGGACGGCCCCAGTGTCCCGAGGAGGGCATCTACCCTCCCCGGCCTCCCCACTGTTCCCAGACTGGGGCGGATTGTTCCAGATACGGTGATAATAAACAGCCGCGCGCAGCGCAGCGTTTTAACTTCTGCTGGCCTCTAGGACACCGTCCGAGTAGACGATGCTCCTATACTGACCGTCTACGAAAGCTTCGCGAGCAAATGATGCGTGCGTGACAACCTCAATACGGGGCATCGCCGTGCATGTGCGTCATGAGTGAGCCGGTCCGGATGCAGCAAGTAAAGAACACCATTAGGTGCAAGGGCCCCTGTACAATGTCATGGGTCACGCAGTGGCGCGATGGGGTGCAAACGCCTCAGAGCTAATTTTTCTGGCTCGTCCATTGTTGACTCACATGGCAAGCCCAGTAATAACCGAGGAGGCTTCCAAGAGGCCCCCAAGGTTTGTTCAAGATGTCTCCCAACTGTTCCCGACAGGCCACCAAGAGGAAGCTGCACCTCCAAGAAGCTTGTTAATATGTTATACAGAAGAGGCTCCTGAAGCTTCCGAGCCGCCTCCCTTGGATGCACCCAAGAGCTAAAACGCTCGCGGGAGGTCCCAAGAGAGCTTGAGCGGGCTGTCAAGAGGGGCGCACTACTACATGTATGGCGGGGCGCTCTCGCTCCTGCTCGTCCCGTTCATTCTTCTGCCCCACTCGACCACACTAGAGATCACGTAAGACCCATGCCGACAAAGTCAGACCAGGCCAGACGACACCAGACCAAACAAGGCCAGACCATACAGGCCTTGACGAAATAAAGCCACCTCAGGCCAGAACAGACCAGACCGAAGGAGGTGGGCAGAGGGTATCTATGCATAGGTCGCAGCCTTTGCCTCCTCCCCTCCTCATCATCCTCTCCCCTCTTTCCCCATGTCCTGCCCCGCCCTGATCCCACCGCTCCTTTTCGCTCCATCTTCCTACATCTTCGTCGTACGTATGTACACTCCCCAAGGAGACCACAAGGGGCTTCCCACTGGTCATCATTGGTATATTATGTTTGGTCCGTAACCATGTTGGCTCAAGCAATTTGGGTTCGAGCCGTAGTTGATCAAATTTCAATGTTGTTGCCTTGCGCGATCGTATGCGCATACTTGGGTATCCGTGGGGCTGCATTCCACAATCGTGTTGCGGCGCTTGTGCCTTGGCGGCTTGCTGTTTGGGTGTCGCCCTGCTCTGCAATCTTGTTCACGCGGGGGAAGAAGAGTGCACTAGGCGCTTCGTTGGCATGAGTCCATCAGATTGGGCGCTCTCCAAAATTGTCTGGTGGCTCGTCCAACTCATTGGCATGCGGAATTGGGTGCCGATGCTGAAGTTGCTCCCAGGGTTCGATGCCGTGCGATTCGCGGCCCACCCGCACGGCTCGGATGACTTGCGGCACATCGCCCTCACGTTCGACGATGCTGCCGGGTCCTCGGGCATGGAGGAGCTGCTGGAGGTGCTTCGAGAGTTGGACGTCCAGGCCACTTTCTTCGCCATCATGAATGCCTTCACGTTCGCTAGCACCGATGTTCTGGCGGGGGCCGCGGCTGCAGGCCACGAGTTCGGCAACCACGGGGTCGGTTGGGAGACGATGATGGGCATGACCCGCGGCGAGCTTATGGCTGCCATCGACACGTGGGAGACCAGGATCCGGTCGATACTGCCACGATGGCCCGCTTCCGACGGCGACCTGAAGTTGTTCAGGCCCCCTTCGGCGCTGCAGGGGCCTGCGATGGCCGAGTTGCTGGAGGAGAAGGGCTACTTGTCTGTTCTGGGCGATGTCTACGCCGATGACGTGCACATCGCCGACACAGATTTCCACACCAGGCTGATCGTCAACGCCGCGTGCGACGGTAGCATCGTGGTGCTCCACGTGACCAACGTTGAGGCCCCGAGGCAGACGTTGGCAATCGTGCGCAGCATCGTCCCCCAGCTGAGGAGCCTCGGCTTCCGCTTCGTGACGTTGTCGCAGCTTCTCGCCGCCGAGCGCCGCGACCTGCCGCTGTGCTGCTTCAGCCCGCCCGTGGTCGCGTGCGTCCTGGCGGCAGGGGCCTCGCTCCTCGCCGCCTCTGCGGTGCTGGCCGGCCGTGTGCTCCGGGTCTCCCTGTGGCTCCTGGGGTGCCTCGGCACCGAAGCCCTCCGTGGCTGGGGGCACTGCCCGAGAGGGCGCCGCCACCAGGCCGGGAGCACTTCCCGCGCGCCGCGGCCCGGAGCACTGCTCCTGGGCGCGGCCTCGGAACCGGCCGACGGTGTCCAGGCGCGGCCGAGCTCGGGCAGGGCATCCGAGCTCGGCTCGCTGGAAAGCGGGTGACGTAGTCGGCACAGCGCGCCCAATTTGTAGACTGGGACGACCGGCGGAAGGCGGGAAAACAGCTGTGCGGCGCTACTGCCCATGGTGATGTGACCTGGCGCGCATTCCCACGCGCAGAAAAATACGTCTGCTCGGCCAGTCGGGATCACCGCGCAAGAAAAAACGCATCCAGACGTTCTGGACGTTTCTTCATTGTTACTTGCTTCTGGTTGTTTCTGCGTTGCGGTTGGTGTTTGCAATTGCTTTTTTACGCAGCGTTTTCTCGTAAGGTTGCAGCCTTGCCACTTGCAGCGCGCTTCCCTTGGGGATTCCCTTCGATGTTTCCCTTCGATGTGCTTGCGCGAGGCCGAGTGGTGATCATGCACGGCATTGCCCGTTTGCCACGACGCTCGCGATAGCTGTTCAGGAGAGTTCTCATTAGCAGCAATGTGGTCGCTGCGGCATTGCGGCACTATGTTTGAGGCGGCGCGTAAGGCCCCTTTCGCCTGCCATTTGCGCGTGTCTTGCATGTGCGGGCTGCCCCTGCGCAGCGATCCTTCGCGCAGCGTGATTGCGCCGATTTTGCAGGACGATTCGCTCGATCATGCGGGCAGAACGCCTCTGCGTGTCGACGCCTCCTGTAGCGTCTAGCATACCGCCAAGCTTGTTCCTGGGTACGCGGGCCCCCCCTGTTGGCTGCGCGCCAATCATTCGGAAGGTTGTTCTGTTTGTTTTGTCCAGCGCCTGTGCTTGCCACGTTTTTGGGGCCGTTGGTCACGTGTTGCTACTTTGCCTTCCCTCTCCTCTATTCGCATTATGTTCTGTTGGTTCTTCACTGCGCGCATCTCACAGTGGAGGGCCTGGTCGGACCGTGGAGGGCGCGGCTTCGTTGACAAAGCATATGCGCTGCGGTTGCGCGAAGAAAATATAGCTTTTGCGTTATTCCGCGCGCCGCGGTTGCGCAACTTTCAGCGTGGCGACTTTCGGGAAACGTCGTTTCGGGGCGTATTGTTTCGTTTTCTTCGTCGCCATCTCCTCCCTCATTCCCCCTTTTGTCATTACCTAACAGCGAAGACTGATAGGTTTCTAGTGGGGTAAAAAGAGCTCACAGATCACTCCACAGGGGGGTCCGGGCAGGTGTTGGGAGTTGCCGGGCGGCAGGGTGCCCCGCTCGTTTTTCACCAACAGTCACACACTTCGTGCTCTTCGACTTCCCAGAACTCCATTCCCAGGCCACATTCTGGAGGGCCGGATGCAACTGTAGGCCACTTCGTGCTCTTCCATTTCCCAGAACTCCATTCCCGGGCCACATTTTGGATGCCCGGAGCCAACTGTAGGCCACTTCGTGCTCTTCATTTCCCAGAACTCCATTCCCGGGCCACATTTTGGATGCCCGGAGCCAACTGTAGGCCATTTCGTGCTCTTCTATTTCCCAGAACTCCATTCCCGGGCCACATTTTGGATGCCCGGAGCCAACTGTAGGCCACTTCGTGTCTTCGAGTCCCCAGAACTTTGAATGCCCGGATGTCCGGAGCCAACTGTAGGCCACTTCGTGGTCTTCGACTTCCCAGAACTCCATTCCCGGGCTACATTTTGAATGCTGAGGCAGGCTGATGCTGAGGCTGAGGCAGGCTGAGGCTGAGGCAGGCTGAGGCTGAGGCCGAGGCTGAAGGCAGACTGAGGCTGAGGCTGAAGCAGGCTGAGGCTGAGGCTGAGGCAGGCTGAGGCTGAGGCTGAGGCAGGCTGATGCTGAGGCAGGCTGAGGCTGAGGCTGAGGCTGATGCAGGCTGAGGCTGAGGCAGGCTGAGGCTGACGCCGAGGCTGAAGGCAGACTGAGGCTGAGGCTGAAGCAGGCTGAGGCTGAGGCTGAGGCAGGCTGAGGCTGAGGCAGGCTGAGGCTGAGGCTGAGGCAGGCTGAGGCTGAGGCTGTGACTGCGACTGCCGTTGCCACTGCGACTGTCATCGCGAATGCGACTACGACTGCGAGAACAGCAGAATTCTACAACTGGATTCTCATCTGAATCTTAAGGGGAATGCTTCCAGATATGCTCCTACACATCGCTGTTAGGTTGCTTTGCCGGGATAATTTCTCCCTTGTATCCAACTTGTTATCCTCCTCTTTATCTTTGCTCTCACGTGGCACTCTTGGGCCGTATGGTGTTTGTCCTGGGGTCCTGTTGGGTAGTCTCGGGGCCTCTTGGGGCACTCTTGAGCCGTCTTGGGGATATCCGGGGCACTTCGGAGCAATGGTTGGCCGTCGTGAGTTCCCAGAGGGGGGTTGTTGGTACCGTGTGGTGTCCCGCCCGCCTCCATGACGTTTGTCTTGCTTTGCTTGCGGATTTCCGGATGCGGCGCAGCTGCGGCGGCGACAGCAGAGTCGCCTTCAAATCTCCGCAGAACAGTTGCTTCGCGTTTCCAAGCGGGGTGGCTGGTTAAGTGCTTCCGACGGCCACGCCGGGACGTTTGAACGTGGGACCCCCCCGCTCCAAAAAAACGTGGTGGACGTCAGGAAATGTCGGGTTCATGAATAACCCCCGGGGGGGCTTCGATGGTCGCAAAGCACGAGACATATGTCGAGCCACCAACTTCCATAAGGAGTTCCCAGGGCCCCAAGTAAAGTCCTTATTAGGGTGCTTGGAGCCTTATTTGGGCATTGGGCGGTCACAGGTCACACAGGTGTCGTAGGTCTCAAAGGTCCCACAAGTCCGACAGGTCCCACAGGTCCCACATGTCCCACGGGCCCCACAGGTCCCGCAGGTCTCGCATGTCCTGGAGGTCCCACAAGCTTCGCAGGTCCCACAGGTTTCGCAGGTCTCGCAGGCCTCGCACGTCCCATGAGTTGCACATATTCCACAGGTCCCACGGGTCCCACAAGGCCACCATGTCCCACAGCTGTCGCAAGTTTCGCTGGTCCCGCGGGTCCCACATATCCGGTAGGTCCAACAGGTCCCGCAGGTCCGACAAGTCCCACAGGCGCCGCATACTTCGCAGGTCCCGACCGCAGGTCTCTCAGGTCTCGCCGGCCCCACACGTCCCAGAGGTCCCACAAGCCCCACGGGTCTCGCCGGGGATATGTGGGACCCCGTGCCACAGGTCCCATGGGACGTGTTGGTCCCTGGCCACAGCACAACAGGACCGCCAGCTCCACACGTCCCAGTGGTCCCATGGGGCCAACATGTCCCATGGGTTCTACAGGTCACACAGGTCCAACATGTCCCGTGGCTCCCAAAACGCCGACAGGTCCGACAGGTCCCACAGGTCTCACAGGCTTCGTTTGTTCCGCAGGACCTACAAGTCCTACAGGATCCACAGATCCCACATGTCCCGCAGGTCTCGCACGCACCACAGTTCCCACAGGCCCCACAGGTCTCACAGGTCAGGTCCCGCAGGTCCCACAGGTCCCGCAGGTCCCACGGGTCCCGCAAGATCCACAGGTCCCACATGTCCAACATGTTTCACAGGTCCCTAATGTGTCACGGGTCACACAGGTCCCACTGGTCCCACAGGTCCCGCAGGTCCCACAGGTCGAGGTCCTGCAGGCCCCACAGGTCCAACAAGTTTCGCTGATTTCTCGCAGGTCCCACAAGTCTCACAGGTCCCACGGGCCCTGGAGGCCCCGGAGGTCTCGCAGGTCTCGCAGGTATCGCAGGTCCCGCAGGTCCCACAGGTCCCACGGCTCCCGCATATCTTACAGGTCCCACAGGTCTCACACGTCCAACAGGACTCGCAGGTACCCACCGGTCGTTGAAAGTAGGTATTTTTGGATTCCCAGATCCCAATCTACTTTAAGCGCCTTCCTATTTCAAGAATCTATATTTTTTGTTTTTTGGGGGGGCGGGCGCAAACCTAATCTACTTCTAGGGTTTGGTTGTCACTTCCCTGGGCGACGCTGGTCGCTCGGCCCCTCGGCTGGCCCCATTCCTTGGTTTTGATTGTTTTGTTTGTTTTCGCTTGTCCGTCGGCTGCACTGGTCGCCCCAGTGTCGCCCGCCGCCCCGCGGTCGCTCGGCCTGGCCCCACTATTTGGTTTTGTTTGTTTTTGTTTGTTTTCGCTTGCCCGTCGGCTGCACTGGTCGCCCCAGGCTCGCCCACCTCCCCGCGGTCGCTCGGCCCCTCGGCTTGCCCCATGCAATGTTTTTTTGTTTTTTGTTTTTTTTTTCGCTTGTCCGTCGGCTGCACTGGTCGCCCCAGGCTCGCCCACCTCCCCGCGGTCGCTCGCCCCCTCAGTTTGCCCCATTCCTTGGTTTTGTTTGTTTCTGTTTGTTTTCGCTTGTCCGTCGGCTGCACTGGTCGCCTCAGGCTCGCCCGCCGCCCCGCGGTCACTCGGCCCCTCGGCTGGCCCCACTCCTTGATTTTGTTTGTTTTTGTTTTTTTTCGCTTCTCCGTCGGCTGCACTGGTCGCCCCAGGCTCGCCCGCCGCCCCGCGGTCGCTCGGCCCCTCGGCTGGCCCCATGCACTGGTTTTGTTTGATTTTGTTTGTTTTCGCTTGTCCTTCGGCTGTACTGGTTGCCACAGGTTCGCCCGCCGCGTCTCGGTCGCTCGGCCCCTCGGCTGGCTCATTTTTTTGTTTTGTTTGCTTTTGCTTGTTTTCGCTTGTCCGTCGGCTGCACTGGTCGCCTCAGGCTCGCCCGCCGCCCCGCGGTCGCTCGGCCCTTCGGCTGGCCCCATTCCTTGGTTTTGTTTGTTTCTGTTTGTGTTCGCTTGTCCGTCGGCTGCACTGGTCGCCCCAGGCTCGCCCGCCGCCTTTCGGTCGCTCGCCCCCTCGGCTGGCCCCATTCCTTGGTTTTGTTTGTTTTTTGTTTGTTTTCGCTTGCCCGTCGGCTGCGCTGGTCGCCCCAGGCCCGCCCGCCGCCGTTCGGTCGCTCGGCCCCTCGGCTGGCCAAATTCACTGGTTTTGTTTGTTTTTCTTGTCCGTCGGCTGCACTGGTCGCCCTGCGCACACCCGCCGCCTTTCGATCGCTCGGCCCCACGGCTGGCCCCATTCCCTGGCTTTCTTTGTTTCTGTTTGTTTTCGCTTGTCCGTCGGCTGCACTGGTCGCCTCAGGCTCGCCCGCCGCCTTTCGGTCGCTCGGCCCCTCGGCTGGCCAAATGCATTGGTTTTGTTTGTTTTTGTTTGTTTTCGGTTGTCCGTCGGCTGCACTGGTCGCCTCAGGCTCGCCCGCCGCCCTGCGGTCGCTCGGCCTCTCGGCTGGTCGATTTCTGTGTGTTTGTTCGTTTCGTTTGTTTTCGCTTGTCCGTCGGCTGCACTGGTCGCCCCAGGCTCGCCCGCCGCCCCGCGGTCGCTCGGCCCCTCGGCGGGCCCCATTCATGGTTTTGTTTGTTGTTGTTTGTTTTCGCTTGTCCGTCGGCTGCGCTGGTCGCTCCAGGCTCGCCCGCCGCCCCGCGGTCGCTCGGCCTCTCGGCTGGCCCCATTATTTGGTTTGGTTTGTTTTTGTTTGTTTTCGCTTGTCCGTCAGCTGCACTGGTCGCCCCAGGCTCGCCCGCCGCCCCGCGGTCGTTCGGCCCCTCGGCTGGCGCAATTCGTTGGGTTTGTTTGTTTTTGTTTGTTTTCGCCTGTCCGTCGGCTGCAATGGTCGCCCCAGGCTCGCCCGCCGCCCCGCGGTCGCTCGGCCCCTCGGCTGGCCAGATTCGCTGGTTTTCTTTGTTTTTGTTGGTTTTCGCTTGTCCGTCGGCTGCACTGGTCGCCCTGCGCACGCCCGCCGCCTTTCGGTCGCTCGGCACCCCGGCTGGCCCCAGTCCTTGGTTTCGTTTGGTTTCTGTTTGTTTTCGCTTGTCCGTCGGCTGCACTGGTCGCCTCAGGCTCGCCCGCCGCCTTTCGGTCGCGCTGCCCTGCCCCTCGGCTGGCCAAATGCTTAGTTTTGTTTGTTTTTGTTTGTTTTCGCTTGTCCGTCGGCTGCGCTGGTCGCTCCAGGCTCGCCCGCGGCTTTTCGGTCGCTCGGCCCCTCGGCTGGCTCATTTCCGTGGTGTTGTTTGTTTTGGTTTGTTTTCGTTTGTCCGTCGGTT